GGCGATCCACAGCGCGAAGTTGATGTATTTCCTCAGCGACCAGCACGGATCAGCTCCAGGCATGACGAAGCGGATATCGTCCTCTTTTGGAAGACCAAACAAAGTAGTTTCGCTTTCACAACGAAACACGGTGCCTTCACATGGCGGCGGCGGCAACAACACTACAGTGAGAATAAAAGTTACGCCTTCTTTCTTTGCGTGAACATTTGGGCGGTGTTATGCAAATCTTCCCACATCATGACGTAGACATGTGGGGGCGTGTTAGAACGAGGCGTTTTAGGTAGACATGGCTGACTCTTAACTTTTATAAAGAATATCTCTTTGGATTTGAGACTTTAGTCTTTGCAACTTTACAGATCTTCTTTATGCACCAAGAGCTTGTAACACTCCAAAGAGAAAGGAAAAATTGAAATCGCATCATATGACCCCTTTAAAAAACAAAACATTAAGAAGTCATTCATAACGTTTTCACTTAACTTGATTTTGGTTAGTATCTATGTCAGCCATTACGCAGCCACTGAAAGAAGGGTCAGAATGTTTTACCAAAAAAAAAAAAACCTTTAAGTGAACAGAGTTCTTAAAAGTACCATTTATGTCTTATTTAACATTGTAACACCTTTTTCCACTCTAAAGCACATTTTGTGCAGTCGAAAGGTTCCATGGATGTTAAAGGTTCTTCATGGAACCATAGCCTATCTATCAAGAAATAATTTTTATTTTTAAGAGAGCAAAAAGCCTCATATTTATCAAATCTTTAATAAAGACCTATAGATAGTTTTCTGAATTCCAAGAACTAGAGACCCGTTTTCATCAGCTCTTGAATAAGTGTCACGCAATGAGCGCATCACAGCGTCGTGCTGTGAATTGGTGGCGTTTGGTGCTTTCACGCATTCAGACTGATGGAGACTCGCGCGTGAAGCGCCGCAGGTAAGAGTCTGGAACGCACCGAATCTCTCCACTCGATCGTCATTATTTCTGTTTTTCCGTGCGCGAAAATGTCCTGCTATTAGGCTCTTTAAAAACAACCAACCACGCAATTCGATTCAGTTTTCCTCTATATGGTTGATGTTATTCTGTCCGTTAAGATGCGATTCACGTTTTGGTTTCAGGTGAAAACGCAGTGGAATATAGGATACATAGGTTTTGCTTATTTCATAATGCTTAATAAAAAAACTTTACGCGTCCAGACGCGTAAGCTGGTGGGCAAGAAGAAATGGATCATTAGGTTATGAGGAACGAAGTACCTGTTTACGATACACTCAATGAAAGCACTTAACTCGGGAGTTTTCAGGCTAATAACGCGCAATAATTGATCTGAATGCTCTCATCGAAACTGTCTCCCGTGGGAACGAGAGTGAGGAGATGCCTCACACGTCTGAATGTTCTCCTTGGCTGGGCTTATCTTTCTCTTTAGGATTTAATGGCACATTTCTGATTGTTGAGAGGAGACATTAAGCTAATGTGTTGTTGGTAAGCTCAAATCAAAATTTTGTTTTTGTCTTATCAAAATTGTATTTCAACACGTGTGTGCACTGAATTTATTTAATACACGAGTTTCACAATTTGAGTTGAATTACTGAAATAAATTAACTTTTCCACGACATTCTAATTTATTGAGATGCACCTGTATTATTGGAGCTGCTGTCTGTGAATTTGTCTTTTATGGTGTTCTATAAATACCCGGTGCAGACTGAAAATATCAAAGTTTATTTTGTGTCTTCATTCTAGCCGAAGGATGTCTGGTGCTATGTGTGTTATTAAAGACAGATATGTTTTCATCATTTTTAAATACTGATTTCTACAGTTTTACACTGTGAAAATGATTTTTTGTGCTTCTGATAATTTTTTTAAATCTAAATTTGCATCATTAGGTATTTATAGAGCACTTATACACACATAAGGATCCAGTTTTACTAGAACGCTAAAAAAAAAAAAAAAATTTATGACAGTTGTTTTTTCTGTCTCTCCTTCCCAGTCTTTCTCCGTCTCTTTTGTCAGTCGATATGTCACTGTGTTCTTCCATCTGTCTCCTTCTTTATCTCAGTGCTTGACTTTTTGTACAATATCTCTCCCTCTTTTGGTTCCCATGGCTCCCAGTGACTCTTTTTGTAGACAATTTCATCATTTTTATCATAAAGTCATGTCTATCTTTAAGTCTCAAGTGGGCAAATCTTGTTGTCAGATGTATGAAACTCATTTAAGCTCCTCAAAAACTCCATTTGAAGGTTTTATATATTCCATTCATATCAGCTTCATTACGCACTCGATCTCTCCGTTTCTTCAATGAGTCTCTCCATGGGGCTCTAGTCGATGACCTAATTATATTGTCATGGCAATGGCATTAAAAGTGTCTGCTGATTCATTGAAAGACTATAAACGCATTCATTTGATGGTTTATCAGCTGTATTGTTTGGGCTGCCAATAATCACAAGTTTCCAAGTCACTGGAGTGCCATGTAATTCAGGTGTTTCTGTCTCACCCCCATATTGTTACTAAACCTGTATGACTCTATTTGTTTATGTATGAATGCATGTATTTATTCATTTAATATTTTGGTTATAGACAATTAACATATGGCCAATGCTATGACAAATATTACACCCTACTGTTTAATTGTAATCCTCAGTAATAAATAAACCATACCTTCTCTCGTATTCACACATTTTATTTTATTGTTATGATCAATATGGCAAACGCTATCACTGTTTAATGTTCCAGTGGTGCCTCATTAATATGTAAACTGTGAAAATAATTTTTCTTATCTCATTAACATTTAACTTAAATCATTTAGCAGACTGTTTTATTCAAAGTTACTTCCAAAAGAAAAAAATAAAATATCAAAAAGCACTAAAAAGTACAAGTCTTCCAAAAGCATGTGATAGTTTTGCGTGAAGAACAGACCAAAATTTATATATTTATATAACAACAACAATAATAATAATAATAATAATTATTATTATTCACTCATTTTTCCTCTGGCAGGCATCTCGTTAACTTAAGCTGCAAGTTGATCATTGAGTCAGTGAATTGAACTTAATCTTGAACTCGAACCAGATCAGTCTGATTTCTTAACTGAATCAACTGGTTAATTGAAAAGACCTAACTAATTTGACTAATTATTCTTTCACTTGGTTTCAGAAAAGTTCAATTTGCATTGACTGCTTATGATACATCAAGATTCTGCATAATTCTCCTTTTGTGTTTCACAGAAAAAAATAACAGTATGCTGTTTTGGAACAACTTAATGGTGAGTAAATAATGACCGAATTTTTAGTTTTAGGTGTCCTACCCCTCTACACTAATGTGGACTACTGGCCTACTTAAGACCATTGATAATGAACTCTGTGACCATCAACAGTACAGTATGAGAAAGAGTGGACACTAGATCAAAGGAAAGGTGGCAAAAGTGAAATGAGACAGATCCTAAAACAAGGCAATGGACCATGTTATATCAAAGATGAATCGTAGTAGACGTAGCCACACATTTTTTGGTCTGTATTGTGACATATATCCAAGTATAACAGCTAATCGAAATAAAAAAAATAAAAATTAGTGCAGGAACCTTGTTCAATCCATTGGTCGTTATTTGGTTTTTATGATAAAGAAATAATTGGAGATGTCTGATATATGCCACGAGAGACAACGTTTCACAATTACAAGGTCCAAAAAAAAAAAACATATGCATGGATGAATTGTTCACATTTCTGATGAATTTGATGAAAAATGAGTTTTATGGCTGTTAACACATCATTTCAAGAGACAAACAGACCTGTCAGATTGTCATTCACTGAACACTCTGTTCTGTTGAAGCAAAACTAAAGTCTTAAACATAACCCAGATATGCTTTATGCATGCATTATTTACCCAAGATACCCGAACAACCAAGCCTCTTGCAACTTTCAAAAAACATCTCTTCTGTGAACATTTGACTCAAACCTGCAAATGCAATAACACCTTTTTTCACCGTTTCTCTGTTTCATCTCTGTTCTAGTGTGTAGTTCTCACATGATAAGTGTAGGCAGCACTTCTCATGCTTCCACCTCCTTAGGATGAATCACTCCTCATTTGTAAGTCGCTTTGAATAAAAGAGCCTACTAAATGATTAAAGACAAATGTCAGTGCGATAAGAGACTATTATTCAGACAGTTTATGTATTAATGAGGCTCTGCTGGAACATTAAACAGTAGGGCGTAATATTTGTCAATGCATTTGCCATATGTTGTCCATAACAATAAAATAAATCAAACACACCCTTACAATAATGAACTACCTTCACGCATTCCTTGAGTCTTAAGTGACATTGTGTTTTTGAGTGATTTCTCGGTATCTAATAGAACGTCGCTGGAATTCATTAGTCTGCACACCTAATTAGATTTTCTCTTTACAGACATGCAAAGGCAAATGAATGACTCCTGCTCCATCTTGACATTTAAGTGCCTGCTTCAAATGCTGGCGTATTCCCTTTGTAGCCCACTCTACTCTTAAGGTCACTTTGTAGAACAGTCCCGTCGAGGGAATACTGTGCACAGAGCATGTGAACAGCCTGCCTTTTAGCCTCAGTCTATTGGGATTAGCCACCGTCTGCATATCCCATTGCAGTATCATGCGCACGAGACTATTGTACTGTAAGCGTATTGGCCTGCTATGAATAAGAAAGTTTAGTTAGAGACTCACGGCTGGGCTTCTAGTTATGTTTTTGTTGTTTGAATACACATTCGTTCAATTTATTGGCAATAGCTGAATATGCTGAATTATAAACCAGTGAATTTAGAGTTGAATTTGGCTGCTGATAGAGACAGAGGGAGTGGGAGATGAAAGAACCAGAGCCCTAAAAACAGGAAGCTTTGTCACCTCTGTTACCTTGACAACCTGCTTCGGACTCTGATATACAGACATAGAGTTTATGTCTGTGCTTAAGACTTATTTATAATTATGCCATATTTATGATGTGTACTGTATGTTTGTTCATACAGTATATTAAAGAAGTTTGAAGAGAATCAGAAATATGTGAGTCAGGTTGCAAATGGCTTACTAAATAATGTTTTAATTAATATGTAAAAAGGGTTATAGAATATATAATTAGCTTACTATAATTTGTTACATTTATATAGTGCTTTTCTGGGCACTCACACCAGTGTGCAGCATCCACCTGGATGATGCGATGGCAGCCATATTGCACCAGAACGCCCACCACACACCAGCTTATTGGTGGAGAGGAGACAGAGTGCTGAAGCCAATCAGTATATGGGATGATTAGGAGGCCATGATGGTCAGAGGCCAATGGGTGAATTTGGCCAGGATGCTGGGGTTACACCCCTACTCTTTATCGAAGCACATCCTGGTATTTTTAATGACCACAGAGAGTCAGGACCTCGGTTTAACTTCTCATTCGAAGGACGGATAATACCATAAAAACAATAGAAGTCATTCGGGTTACACTTTATTTTAAGGCGATGTTGTTACAGTGTACTTACACAAATAAGTACTGAGTAATATTAATTAACTGCATGTACTTACTGTAGGGTTTGATTTACGATTAGTTGCTTGTAATTTATGGTTATTATCATAGTAAGTACATGCAAAATAAAGTTTTACTGTCAATGGAAAATGCCCAGACGTGTGTCTGTATGTGTGTGTGTGTGTGTGTGTGTGTGTGTGTGTGTGTGTGTACCCAGTATTCCCTACGTTATGAGGACCAAATGTCCCCACAAGCATAGAATACCAGTAATTTATTTTACATTTTTTTGGTCCCCATGAGGAAACAAGCTTATAAATCATACTGAATGAAGTGTTTTGAAAATCTAAAAATGCCTGAAGTTTTGTGTGAGGGCTAGGTTTAGGGTAAGGAGATAGAAAATACAGTTTGTACAGCATAAAAACCATTATGCCTATGGAATGTCCCCATAATGATAGGAATAACTGTGTGTGTTTGTGTGTGTGTCTCTCTGTTGGTGTGTGTGTGTTCAAACCCTTGCTGGTCCCAAAATATCTTTCTCTCTCTTATAGATTTGTTTCACTGAACGGCTCCCTTTCACTCTCTCAAGCACACATTAACATTTATGACAGGCTTTTTGTTTAACTGACTAACAAGCAGATAGATGTACATTTTCCTCTTAAGGCTTGGTTTATTTTTAAAAATCAATTTCTGTATTGATTCATACCATAAAGTCTTTAGTTTGAAAAAAAAAGCAAGTGAACACACGTGACAGTGAACCAAAATAGACATTAACAATCCAATGCATTAAACTAATAAACAAAATAAGAAACCTAATTACTTAAAATGAAATCATGCAGGAACGTGAATGTGAATGCGAATTGTTGTTCAAACACAGAATGCAAGAGAAGGCGGGTTACATTTAATTGCTTTATGCAATATGAAAGAAAACAATCTATTCTTGCAGATTTTGTGTGTGTGTGTGTGTGTGTGTGTGTGTGTGTGTGTATGAGCCAAAATCCAATGGCTTTATTCATATTATAAGCCAGTAGCTCAGTCAGGAGTATTTGATGGCTTAATTTAAAAAAGAATCAAATGCCAAAATCTTAATTAACTTCTCAGTTCCATGCATACCATGCAGGCTTAATTAAATAGCTTTTAGAATTTTTTTTTTTTTTAATATATATATATTATTACATCGCCTGTGGAACACTGTTGGATGATTCATAATTATTGCACGAATGTGTATTACTTGCCCTTTCAAAGTGTAAAGTCTTAGGAATAAAGGTCAATAAGGTTAAGGTCAATAGAAAAAGTGATGCTAGAAGATTAAAATAACTCTTTATTAAATAAAACTGAAGGGAATATTTATTGATTTTTTTATAACCAGATTGGTCCGTAATCCAACATGACAGTAGAGGTGGTCTTGTCTTTTCTGAGTATTGATTGAAATGTTTTCTTATGTCTCCACAGTGTCTTGTCAGAATTACGAAATTATGGTCCTGGAAAGGAGTGTATGATCACCTGATATAAACCAACACCAACCAGAGGAGGCGGAACAATGCCAGACTCCGCCCTCTCTCCACCCGTTCCACCAATCACCGCTCTGAACAGTTCCTTGTACATATCGAATTGCTCTTTCGCTAACCTCTCCACAGTCGCATATGGCGATGAGTGCTATGGCAGCCACTCTTTGTTTGTTGTAATGGCGGTTGCCTACAGTGCTGTGGTACTGTTGGGTGTCGTTGGCAACCTGGCTCTCATCCTTGTCATCACACGGCAACGGGAACTTCACAACGTCACAAATGTCCTAATCGCAAACCTTTCTGTTTCGGACCTGCTGATGTCCCTAGTGTGTCTGCCATTCACCTTCATCTACACCTTCATGGACCACTGGGTGTTCGGGGCGGTCATGTGCAAACTCAACAGCCTGGTCCAGTGCTGCTCCGTCTCAGTGTCCATCTTCTCCTTGGTTCTGATCGCCATTGAGAGGCACCAGCTCATCCTACACCCTCGCGGATGGAGGCCCAGCCTGAACCATGCCTGCCTGGGCATCAGCCTCACCTGGGCCCTGGCCGCCCTCACTGCTACACCCTTTCTGTTGTTCTCCAGGGTGACAGACGCCCCGCTGAAGCAGCTGCCCTCAGTGTTTCAGGAGCAGTACAGGGGAAAGGTGGTGTGTGTGGAAGAGTGGCCCTCCAGAGAAATCAAGCTCACCTACACCACTGGCATGCTGGTGCTGCAGTACATCACTCCTCTCACCTTCATCTTCATCTGTTACCTGAAGGTAAGACCAGAGAGACGAGTAAGAAAATATGGTGACATACCCTTATTGTAGTATACTATTTTAGTTTTTCTGCTTCAAAATTTCATGTTTAATTCAAGGTGTTTCTTGCCATTTCTTTGTAATTGCTTGTGAAGTTTCTATGAAATTTTTTATATAAAGTCATGCATGGGTCATGTATATGTACTGTGTATGTATATATATATATATATATATATATATATATATTGTGTATATATATATATATATATATATATATTGTATACAGATATTTTTGTTAGAAATTGAAAAATATAATAATAATAATAATAATAATAATAATAATAATCATCATTATTATTATTATTATTATTATTATTATTA